GCCAGTGCGTCAGCTGTGTGATAGCCGAACTCTTAGCTGAGCCCATAGGCAAACTACTCCAACTATCAATTTCCCCACTTAGCTCTTCCATCCTCTCTTTACATGCCTCCAGTTCCTCATCCAAACTGAGCGACTCAACCCAAGCTTGAGGCATGCTAGCAATTTGTCTGAACTGTGTACGCAAAGTGCGTACATCAGTTCCAGGAGTCTCCCCCCGGGACCGCACCTCGTACACCAGCTCCGGCTTCCTCAAATATTCCGGCACAATTGACGCCATACCGAGTCTCAACCAGCACTTGACTCAAAATAACAGCCAACAAAATTTTTTCACAAAACAAACACAGAAATTTAATTCCTAAGGCTTCTGGACGTTGATGCCTACGCACCTGATGGGGCCCAAAAGAAGAACCTGCCCATTCATACCGCAAGTACCGCAAGAAAAAACAACAACAAATGACCCACGAACGTACACACACACAAACATACACCGATACATACACTAGACAACACCTAACACTTGTGTGATGGGGGGTACACACAAACCTTTATTTTTTTTTTTTTTTTTTTTTTTTTTTTTTTGACACATGACCATGCTTTTGACACTCTTGCTCCCGAAGGATGCAAGTCATTACCACCGATTCCACCCGGTGCCTCGGCCAAAGGGCGAGCTCCTAATAAAATGTGTTTACGCCCCACCACAACAACTACAAGACCTTTTTCCAAAACTGCCAGGCCAGAACATTTCCAAGAAACCAATCCATCCACGGCTCTTCAAAACAAAACAAAAAACAGAACGCGGACAGTGATCGCATCTCTAAGTATCCGAGTCGTGAAACCAAGTTTCACGACAAGGCACTCAGGACGCAACCCACTAACCACGCTCTGCTACCAGATGAACCATGCCCTCGCGCCTGCACCCAGACTAACGAAAAGGAAGCGTGATCCATGCGCAGGCCCGAGGAGCGGCTCACAAAACTTTACATAACAAAATGAGAACCATGGATGGAGGCTCAAGAACAACACGCCATTTGAGAGAAACGAGCTGTAATTAACCATTTAAAAAAAAAACACAACAATAACATCAACAACAATAATTAACAATAATACATGAATTAAATACTCTCAATTAAACTTTAAAAATTTTGATACCCGTTTACCCTACTAACTTACAATTATTTCATTAATCATTTTCAAATAGGCTAAATTTCAAAAATAAATCTTACTAGCTTTTACCTTTCAAAAAACTTTAAATTAACAAATTACAACATGATATATATAATGACTCTTTTAATAAATTCATTTCATCTGGTAACTATAGAAACTTTAGGGGCCCCAAATTAGAATTCAATAGAATATTTAATAAAATTATAAAATTTAAAAAAGATCAACAAGTAGCCTAGGCTAAAGAATTTAAAATTTAAAAAGAAAAACAATTAATAAATCTCTGTGCACAAATTAACAAATAGGTAACGAAATCTCCAAGTCCAGGACGGTGGTTAGCAATAATTAATTAGGCCTAAAACTTGCGGAATTTGCGGTACTAGTTCATGTTTCTGGGCGAGCAGCACCGGAGGGGAAGCAGGCATGACGGAAGAGGGGGGCCAAGATCCAGGGGTGGCCAAGAGTTGTAATTCCCACTCCGCCAAGGCTGATGCAGACTACCGGTACTCCATGTTCCTCCTCACGGGCCCCATCAAGCGCGCTGGGCGCTCTTAATTTACTGCATAGTAGAGAATATCTTCACACAAGTAAGGAAAAGGCAAAAATACAACGCAAACATACTACAAAATTAAGATGAAAGACGATGCAAAATTTATGCCGATGCAGCGCTAACGAAAGTCTCGGAGCCTCTGAATCGTCGGCGGTGGGAGTAATAAGAACAAAACCCACAGCCTTGTTCGGGGTCGTGTAGTGAGAAACACTGAACTAGCCTACTATAAAAAAAACACTTGAACCATTGATCATGAGTCGTGACATTCGCCCGATGGAAATAGTCACGGCTCACCCTCACTCATTGCATGAGGACCATTACCTTCGGTCATCTGGCGATAAATGTTGGCATCAAATATGTTTCTTGTGGTCAAAAAACATATCACTGACCTTATCTCGAATGCTGCAGGAGATTCAATAACTATACAAATGTTCCAATCACACAGCGAAGCGTACAGTCCCCTACAGAGCTGCAAATTGTGCCATTCTGTTCACCGAAGACAACAGTAAGCGGCGAGCCTCATTAAAAAATTACCATCGTATAAAATGAGTGTGTAGTTTAAATTTGTTTGCCAATGTGTTTTTTATCACCACAGATATTGAGATGAACAAGACTTAAAGTGTTAAATTAGTGTTAATACTGTTAATAATGCAAAACTACTACAAAAATATGTTAAATAAAAAGCCTTACTAGTTATTATAAGCATTCTAATTAGCAAGGACGAATTAACAGGCAAAACAAAACATATAGTGACAAAACACATTAGTAGCTTACTGGAAACAATTGGAGTAAAATCAGATGAGTGTTCAATGAACCCTTGAGCATTCTGTATCACAATGCCATGAGTTTGGGGCAAAATAAATATTACTAGTGAGAATCTATAGGTCAAATCCTTCATCCTTAATAATTAATAATTAATCCTTGATTATTTTGATGTTAACAATTTAACCCTGTAGACCACTGCAGAGAATTCAGCACCTTCAAATAGACCGTTACAAAGACATAAGCTTTTTTAACATTGGACACCGACGCAAATATGCAACGTCAGTCTATTTTAATGTGACGGCAGTTTATGGGTAGAAAGCGGCCGTCGCATATGTGTGTCACTGGTCCATATGAATGAAAAAGTAGTATTGGGGTAGCGAATGAATGGAAATCTTATTGTTATACTGTGCTAATAATGGACTCAATCCCCAACCACAGGCACTAGCCCATTTTGAGTTGATTTATTACTTTTATAACTGTATTCATTTTGTATTGAATTTGTTATTGAAATAAAGCATGTTTCATTCATTCAATGTTTAGGATAGGCAAACAAATTTTAAATCAACGATTTTCGGATACAAACAAATTTATATAGATGTACAGAGTGAAGAACAATTAATTTGTGGAAATTTTTCTCTAATACAAAGTTTTGTCTACATATAGCCTAATAAATTGTGTTCTTTTTGTGATTATTTTCAAATTATTCTTTCCAATCACAGTATTATACTTAATAAATACTGGTGTGCAAAAATATAATGTAATTGATTGATGAATTAAAACATTTGACATATTGTCAGTACCCGATTTGTAAAAAAATGAGGTGCCGAACTGTAACCTATTTAATATATGTTACGACCGGGCCGCTGCCACCGAGGTGGGTAGCTGCAACCCGATAGTGTGAAGGGCTCCATAAGACTCAATAATTGTACATATCTAATGGCTGACGGGTAGCTGTGACGCAGTGGCTGCGACCTAGCGAGAAGGCGGTCTGTCCCATCATTATCTCAAACTGTAGTTTTATTCAGGGTTTCTAATGTTCATCCATTCAAGTTTTAAGTAAGATTATTCGTTTTAAGTTCATTTTCAACAAATCGACAAGAACTTTAATAGGAACATAAGTTTGGTCAACCATGATGATTATTGGTAAGCTGAGTTCCGCAAAATTTTGTAAAGGATGTACAAAATAAATTACATGTTTTCTATGGTAAGAAACTACATTTTTAAGCATCGATATATAATTACTGAAACATTTTCCAGGTAGTAATTTATGTCTAAAAATCCATACAATAACTAAGAAAACCAATTTCAAGAAAGAAATACAAAATAAAAAATCATTAATTCATAACCATCATCGTAAATTTTATTTTTCAGACTCTGTTACTCTGATTCTTTTTCATACTTTATGAACACAATGGGTTCTACTAAACAGTGTGAGTATTATCAATACAGATATTTAAAAAAATATTTTTAAGTTATTTATAAATAGTACTTTTATTAGTATTTCTATGCGGCAGCTCATTAGTAAAAATTCTTATTCATAGTTTTTTTTAGGTTAGAATTAGGAATGTGTTGATTCTCGATACCACCGATACTTGGCCATTGGTATCGTTATCGAAAATCGATCGTCAGAAGTTGATTCCGATACTGATACCTGTTACACCCGCGCAATCAGAAAATTACCACTATAGCCGCGACCGCGGAGTACGATGATGACATCTACATGGGCGAGTTCGCGAACCAGCATAGAACGGGGGATTATGGTTAATGGTAACAAAAAATTTTGCAATTTATTTTTAAACCGTTTTGTAGAGGTTAAAAAAAGAAATAATTTAGTATATTGAAGCGCTGTTGTATACCTAACGGTTACGGGGAAAATTCAAAAATAGTGTAATTTAAAATTCATATGTAATTCTTATGGATAAAATTTAAACTGTTGTAGTTTACTTGTTTATGTATATATGTTGATACAATTTGGCAAATTTATTTATTTCATCCATCATATTCTATTGACATATGGTAAAAAGCACTTGTTACCTTCCCCGTAGCAGCAAACCTAAGCACTCGTTAAATCTAATGTTATTTAAATTGGGAATAAATATGTCTTATTTATGAAAATATTTTAGACAAATTGAAATTCCCTTAGTCGGCAGGGTTATTTCTTTTTCTTGTATCTTCATTTATCTTTAATATGGTAGTTTTTTAATGTGTTTAGAAGGATTTAAACTTAAATTGGCTAGTTGGAATTGCTGCATGCATTTTGTCTTTACTTGAAAAACACCCCATTACCTTAAAAATACTTAATGGGACATAAAGACAGGAATTGTTGTAGTATAGCCAATCAATTCAGAAAATTTGGTAAAACAAAAAAAATGGTATCAGTATCAAGAATTGAGAATTGATTTTTCAGGTATCAGTATCAGATTCGAGAATCGATAAATTTTGGTACTGACACATCACTAGTTAGAATGTTTGACAGGTTCACATTTTTATAATACTAGAGTTAATAATAAGCGATGAGTAGCACCTTTATTCCACACGACCCAAGACTTAGATATGTGAGAGGTAAGCTGAACATTATTGAGACCTTGGTCTGCATCTGGTAGAGTGGGTGGTTCACAGGGTGGAGCTGGTGGCTGAAGGAACGAGTGACAGAAGAATGTATCAAAGGACATTCTATCTGAGGCGTTGCGTCGCAGCAGACCCATCAGTAGAGAGGTTAACTCTGGTGATGTGCCACTGGGAATCCTGCACATTAAACACCAACCTCAGAACAATGTAAAATCAAACCAATTTATTGTTTATTTTGTAGTATGGAGGACTTATTAGTGGCTGAAATGACAAGTGGACAAACAGAAGACTCCTTCCTTGTCCATATACACACAGACACAACACACACTACTACTGTCCTTGGCTGGTGCCCCAGTACAACTTCTCTTAACTGAAACCATGGACTAACCAACACAAGTAGACTTCTCATCCCATTGTAAATTTTGAAGCACGTTTTTCGTGTCTAGTTCATGTACGTGACACAAAGGCGCTAGTGTCGATGAAACTTTGTTTCCATTATTTTAGGGTTAATTTCTTGATTTCTGCTTTACTGTTTGGTTATATAACTAGGGGCCAAGTTATTGTTTATGATTAGATCGTATTATTTGGTTAAACAAGGTTTTAAATGGGTGTAATAACGGGAAACAAGTTGTAAACAAAACACGACCTCTACATAAACCATACATGAACTAACAATAAAATTGACTTCAGCTGTTCCATAAGGATGAGAATTCTACTAAGGGAGTATGTTTTATCTATGCTGAAACCGACCCTTGATCAACCGCCTCTTTGAGTGGGCAAGCACTCAGTGCATGAGGGGAATGAGAAAGCCGATACTTTGGCCAGGAGGGGTGCAGAAGATCAGCTGACAAGGCCAGATCCCTACTGTGGTACACCAATTAGCTCAGGAGAAGCCAAAGTCCGAGACTGGGTTAAGGTCTAGAGGCGGAAGCTTGGAGGACCAACCCAGGACTAAGAACTTCAAAAACACTAATAGTTCTGAAACTTCAAAACAATCAATGAAAGATTCAAGAGGCGTATTGAGCTTAAAAAGGGGCACATCAGATTACTAGTAGGGATGCTAACTGGGCACGGACCTATTACTATTAGGGAACACCTTAGAACCATAGGGAGGTCACAGACAGACCAATGCAGGTTCTGTGAAAACGAGGTGGAAACCTGTCTCATAGCTCCTAGGCTATGCCAGAAGCCTAGGATTGTCGAACTGATTTGAGGAGTGCTACAATAGGTCATCAGGCCGAAGTACCTAGGGGTAGATGAATACACAAACTCCCCCCCCCCCCCCCCCAAAAAAAGAGGGTGCATTGTACAAAACTATAAACCAATGCCCATACAGAATGAACTATAATTTATAAATTTAGCTCAGAGTAGCTAAGTTACACTATCTCTCCAGTATCTAAAACCTAAGAAGATAATTTTACTTTTGAACAATAGGAATCAAAACTAGAGCTGTCTGTAAATTAAGGTCTCCGTTCAGACTCATCAAAACCAAGCAAGCTAGTTCAAATCAGAGACTAACCTCGTGTTCCTTACTTTATCAGGGTGGCCACAGAACTCCTTAAAAAACACCTATTTCTTGGTATTTCTGGAAGAAAACCCTGTAATTCTCTATTGTGATTCCCAGTCACCAAGTGTACCCTTTACTAGGGGTCTGCAGGTCCTCAATATTTTCTGGTCAGGTCGGGCCAAGGGATCGGGGTACGGGCTGGAAATGATTATCGAGCCTGGCTCAAGCAAAGATACTTACTTACTTATTTACTTACTCCCAGAGCCATTCATTTATATCGGAGTAGATATTTAGCCTCACCAGTCGCCAACTAATCTTCACCACGTTATCCGGTCCTCTGCATCTTCCTCTACTACTCCAATTCTCTCAATGTCTGCTTTCACTTGTTTCCACCATCTCTGTTTTGGTCTTCCTCGAGGTTGCCTTTCAACCACATTGCCCGCAAGCAAAGATACAGGCAAACATTTACGATTTTGCCGCGGTTGTGGGAGACAATAATATCGCTGTGATCGCAGAAATTGTTGACAACTTTGCTGTAACATCGGAAGATGTTCTAAATTTTTCTGAGATTGATAAAATTCTTGATTTTACCATAACTTCAGATGATGTTCTTGATTTCCCATGACCATAGAAGATGTTCTTGATCTCGCCATGACCGCAGATGTTCACGTTGACAGCGGAAGATGTTCTTGAATTTATAGGCTTACATCCGTCAGTGGTCCAAAATTGTGTCTAACTTCAATTATTATTCGAAGCTGACATTCTTCGTTGCAGTGCAGCATCGCTGGGGCTACACGTCAAAAACATCAAAATTTACACAGACGACAGTACATATACAGAACATGGGACATGAGACATTAAACACGAAACAACCCGATAGTGTGATTGCTATCGTGTTGTTTCGTGTTTAAATGTCCCGGAGCATTACATAGTCCAGGGGCTATCAGAATGAATTGTAGATGTTCTTGACTTAGTCAGCATCGCTGGAGCTACACGTCAAAAACATCAAAATTTACACAGACGACAGTACATATACAGAACATGGGAAATGAGACATTAAACACGAAACAACCCGATAGTGTGATTGCTATCGTGTTGTTTTGTGTTTAAATTTCCTGGAGTATTACATAGTCCAGGGGCTATCAGAATGAATTGTAGATGTTCTTGACTTAGTCGTGACCTTGGAAGATGTTTTTGAATTTATAGGCTTACATCCATCAGTAGTCCAAAATTGTGTCTAACTTTTATTATTAACTTTTCTAACAATTATTATTCGAAGCTGACATTCTTCGTTGCAGTGCAGCATTGCTGGAGCTACACGTCAAAAACATCAAAATTTACACATACGACATACACACAACATGGGACATGAGACATTAAACATAAAACAACCCGATAGCGTAAATGTCCCGGGGCATTACATAGTCCAGGGGCTATCAGAATGAATTGTAGACGTTCTTGAATTTGTCGTAACCTTGGAAGATGTTTTTGATTTTACCATGACCACAGAAGATATTCACAATTTCGCCATGAACGAAGATAATGTTTCTCGATTTTGCCATAACTGCAGACTAAAATCAGGTTTTCCTGTTGAAATTTCAAAATAAATGCATAATTAAAGGTATGTGTCCACCCTGTATTTTTACTGCTATTCTAGCTGGTTCACAAAACGATGGGACAATTAGTCTGATCATACTATTTAAATCATTGTGAAAGAGAATTGACGCTCCCACCAAGTATAAATCACGTTCTACGATTAGATTCCTGTAGCGTCACTCATCAACCACTAAAATTCATAGAAGTTCATCGTCAGTTGAGGACATGAACGAAGTAGAGTATTTGGACATAGAAAATTTGTGCAAGGAGTAGAGGGAGTTCAGAAGTGGACTTTACATTTGAAAAATGTTTCCTATGGTGTAGTGTAGGCCGACTGCTGTTGTTCATTAGACTTATGTAGCATGCAGATTGAAGTTGACTGAAAGGGAGATTATCAAACTGATGGGGGACGTCTCTATAAGACTATTAAGGACCAGGGTCAGCCCCGGAAGTTAGTAACATGCAGATCTGTAAGCAAAAAAAAATTCCTCAAATTCAATTAGTGACACGATGGAAACTGATAAACACCCGCTTCTGGCCCTGTTGTACAAATATGTACGGGATTTAGTCACTCCCAAAACAACTAATGCACATTTTCTACATCAAACCATTTTTCTGCATACATATTTGTCAACTGGCAACAGTAATAACCAGGGATTGACCCCATTCCTCAGAAACCTATCCACACAACACGGTTCATACTTAGCAACAAGAGCGTCAACTTTCTTTCATGACATCTTAAAATGACGACCAGACTAGTCGTCCCATAGGATTGGGGACCAGCTAGGATAGTAATGAATACAGTAAGAAACTTGACATTGTCTCAGATTTGAACTAGCTTGTTTGTCTGAAGAGCGCTTGTGTATCTCAATTACAACTAGAGATGTCTAACTGGGTTAGTGAGTTACCTCATTTGACACCTAGAAGCTTTGGTCCACCCGTACACTTCAAGCTTGTTTGGTTGCAATGAGAGCTAGATGGGGGATCTTATTTTACGAACTATCCTAGTGTCATTTTATATTATTTATATTCAAGTTACCCAAGTGACTTTTTTTCGTAGTGTTAGTAACCTTACACATCCACAATGGTCTGTGGCCAAGACCAACCAAGGATGTTGGGCTCAGTTAAAGCGACTGTACTGTAGTTATTTATTTATTTATTGAGTTACATGTCATTACATTATAATAACAGGACATATTGTCAATGGTTAAATAAAGACTTAAAACTAATAGATAAAACTAATACATCTGTATTTACATAAAACAACTGAATCTTCCCAAAATACAACATTGTTACATGACAAAAAAATTGAGCCAGCAGGAGTGTGAAGGTTTACTTATACCTAATTCCAGCAGTCCTTAAAATAATCTGCCAATGAAAAAAAAAGATTTAGTCTTGAGCCATTCTTTTAAATAAAGTCTAAACTTATAGGGATTTTCTAGAGTAATTAAACTTGTTGGTAAGTTATTTAAGATTTTTGGACCAATGTATTGTGGTGATGACTAGAATATTTGTAAATTATGAGCTACAGGTTTGATAATATTCTTTTTTCTTGTATTGTATTGTAATTATGTTGAGTTTGGGTCTCCATAAAAGTAGAGAGGTTTCTATGGACCCAGCATGCTATTTCCAAAATATAGTGATCGTAAAAAGTAAGAACTTTAAAGTTTTGAAACAGTTTTTTACTAGGGGTTCTAGCCTGAACTTTGCCAATAATTCGTATTACTTTTTTTTGTAATTTAAAAATTTTTTTTGAATGAGGAGAGTTACCCCAGATCAAGATACCATATGTCATTAATGATGAGAAATATGCATGATATATTATTAGCTGGGTTTCTAGATTCGTTACTTGTGAGATTATTCTTATTGAGAAAATGCAAGGGTCTAATTTTTTACTTAAATTTTCAATTTGAGATGCCCAGTTAAGATTTTTATTCAAAATTAATCCAAGGAATTTTACATTTTGTTGTGGAGATAATTGATGATTTGAAAGGATAATGTGATTTGAATCATCTTCCCTGTAGTTAGCTGAAAAGTTTATAATTTGGGTTTTTTCCACATTTAGGGCCAGACC